GCAAAGAATCTGGAGGATTAGTGAATGCCATGTATTTGCAGTGGTTTCTTCTACTTTGTGTTGGGCCTGTCTAAGATTTTAGGCACCAAGATTTTGTCGCTTTATGTTTCTGTGTATTCGGGAGGGACGGGGCGGGGCGGTGGGGGTTGGGGAGGCGGTTACCTGTCTAGGTGCCAACGTTACTCCTCTCTTCATTCCGAGTTGGAATCATCAACGATGAACGGAAGTCCTTTGTAGAGTTCATTATTATAATATTTAAAACTACTGTTTATCAAATTCTGCTTTTAGAGTGATTGTTGTGAGAGATGAAACATTGATTTCCATTTCAGGATGTTTCGGCCCTGTACTACCTTGTGGGCATCGTAAGGTATTTGTGAGGTAGGCAATTGTCATTAGATGGTAGGTTATTTAGTAGGTGTGAACCGATACCAAATGGAAATTGAAACAATCTGGGATAAACTTTTAAATTAATTCAGGAGAATTTCAGTCATTTGCCATGACAAATAAGAAATTAGTGAGTTAGTGAAGTTAATTTTCCCTAAATAGCAGTCCCAGAGAAACTGAAGATAGAGTCCCGGCCTAAGCAACATTTATTGAACAGAAGTAATTAAAAATCGAGATGGTTAGAGAGGGTGTGTGAGAGAGCAGGAGTGAGTGGGATAACGAAAAGATGTGGAAAACGATGAAGGAGGCTCTGGCAAGCAACGATTTATCGCGAATGAGGTGAATTCAAAAAGGCTATCCAACAGTCGCCAGCGATGACAATTGGAAATAGTTCAAGCAACTTCTCAAATATTACTATTGTCAAATTAATTTATTTCAAATAGCAGGCTTTTTGATAACTATCATTAGCCATTTAGCTGACTTCGGGCTTTTTGATAACTATCATTAGCCATTTAGCTGACTTCGGGCTTCATAGGGGGAAGGAATATCGAAGTAGAAGAAAGGCGAGGGGTGGGGAACAGAAGAGCGAATCACAGATGTAAAAGGGGCAGACAGACACAAAGGTAGAGAAAAAGGTAAGATGGGCACTGTGAAAGGGGTAGAACATGACATACAGTGAGGTCATGGCAGTTTGAAGTCAGAAGTCAACTGCCGGTTAATAGACTTTTTTGCCGTATGAGTATACGTTGCCCAGGGGGCACCACGTGGAGATTAGTCTATCGCACACCCCAAACTATCGTCAAATCGATTACGATTAATGTTCCTCCAAACAAAACTTTCGAGAAACATTTGGGGGAACCTTTCAATGCTTGATCATTCCGTGCGCTGACCAACCCTATAATAGGAAATAAATTTTAAAATACATGTGAAGTGGGTACTTCTGGATAATTGTAAAATTATCAGATTACTTCAAAAAACGTTAAATAATCAGAATAGCCTAAAACGTTAGCATGTTAACTAATGACGGGTCTTTTCAAACTAAGAGTGCTAAATTAAGTATTCGAGAACCGTTAATAAAAAATTGACTAGAAGTTTACGATGGCTAACTTTGACGAAATTTGAAATAGCTTTCATGATAAATATTTCATGCAAAAACTATTCATAATAAAAAGCTTGCGAGTGTATCTTACACTTATTTTTAGCGTAATTCCGCAGCCACAGGGACTTGAAGTTAAAATTACTAAAATGAGTTATAAAGAATCAACACCACATGGAGTACAAGTAGGCCGAAAAATAATAGAAACAAGATTTTTGAATCTGCAGATGTTTCGAGAAGTGATTCTTAGCCTAGAATTAAACAGCTCAAGTGGAGTAGACTTATCGATGATCTTAGTTTATTCAGTGCTTCTGCGTATCTACTCCAATTCACTGCTAATTACACTTTCCTATCACCTCTCGAGTTTTTGATACTTTTCTGTGATTAAAATTTGGCGAATATTTTGTTTTCCCAGACCCAGAGAAAATGAAATAAGCAAATCCTTTCATTACTGAATAAGTTTCTTTTAATTTATACTTTATTTAAAACGGTGGAAACTCCTAAAGCCGAAACTATTTGAACTGCCTCTCTCTCTAGACTTTATCGCTTCACTTAAAAGTAACTGCATCACCTAGGCGTTTTAGGCATTCAAGAATCAGTTATTTTACAGATATTGACATGAGCTCAACCACGCAATAGAACTTTAAGTGAAGTTCACAACAGGAAGTTTAAGAAGTGCATTTAAGAGCTGCAATTTTCACATGGGTGGCTTTATTTCTCTCCATCCAAAACTGTACCAAATTTGCTAAGAGCTAGTAAAATAATCACTTCTCAATTTAGAAACATTAGAACTGCTTGACCTTTGTTTACACATTTCTCTTTCTAACATTCTGCACGTTTGAACTTGAAAACCGTTGTCACATTGCTTTAACTAACTAATAAGGTACTTCATTTGCATTATAAGTATTATTTGAAGTATGGGGTGAGCGATAGACTTACCTCCACGTGGTGCACCCTGGGCAAGGTTTACTCATACGGCAAAAAAGTCTATTAATCGGCAGTTGACTTCTCACTTCAAACTACCCCAACCCCACTATATGCAATATTTGACTACTTCCACAGTACTCACCTCACCTTTTTTCTACCTTTGTGTCTCTCTCTCTCTCTCTTTTACATCTTTGAAACAGTCTTCTGTTCTCCCCCCCCCCCTCTCAACTTTTTTCACTTTGATGTTCCTCTCCCTCTGTGAAGCCTGAAGTCAACTAAAGGGCTAATGATAATCATCAAAACGCCTGCCATTTGATATAATTATTTGAAGTATTTAAGTGAAATTAAGGTTTTAAATTTAATTTTATTCTACTCTCTTTAATGACTCGATTGGCATTGCATATTGAAATAGAATAGGATTTCTACTTATCTGTTTAAAGTAGTGCCGGACTAATTTTTCCCTTAATTCTCCTTTTCGATGCTCAATTGTAATTTTATTGATTTAGTATTGTAGCTAGTGGTTCTTTGCTTAATTTAACTAAGAAATTCAGAAAGATTATATATATATATATATATATATATATATATAATTATCTGAGTGTGCTGTAATTTTACTTGAGTGTCGGTATCATCGTGAGCCGTTATAAGATTGCACAATACATTTGGAAACTTTATCATAAAAGCATATTTTCTGTGAATACCTTTGATCTTCAAGTTAATTTATCACGTTGTCGTTGATACATGAAACTTCATGGAGTCTATTGCAACTGACGGATAATTTGCTTACCAATTTATATTTTAAATTTTGTAGAAAACGCTCTAATAGATAAAAGCTCTACTAGTCAGGGTATTAATTAATGGTAGTTAATATGAGCCTTTCAAAGACATTTAAAATAGGTGTGTAAAAGGCATCAAATATCCTTTAAAATAAGACTATTAAATATACCCGATTAAGACAGGAGTTATGGTAATTTGACATTTGGATGATGGCATAGAATATTCTATTATTTAAAAATGTGACATTTCATCAAATTGAAATACATTACTAGGCTATATCAACACACCTCTGATCATTCACTTCGAAGAATGTATAATTTCTTCACTCTTAAGCCGTTAAGACTTGATTTTTATTTTTTGGATAGTTCGTAGAAAAATCTTATAGCTTAAAAAAATTGTTAAAAGGACAAATTAAGAAATCAAAATAGATCCTAATAAACAATGCTTCACAGAACAAGTTCGAACTATGTTTTAACTATGTAGTTCAAAACGATATATGGGCAGCAACCCATTGCTATCATGGGCTATTGATAGTCCAAGCTCTTTCCTTTTATGGTAATGGTTTTTGAAATGATCATATTTTAGGCATCCGAAAATATCTTGGTTATTTTGGTTACTCTTGAAACTATACTATTTTATGAATAAATTCTCTTATTCAGTTTCAGTTAAAATTTTATGACCTGGCCATAGATTTATCACGAATCTTTGAAGCACCGCTATTACCTTTTCATTCAAAGGATTAATCTTTGAACTCTATCAGGGACTGTTTAAAGTGCTTGTTTTAATTCACTCTGACCGGAGGTAGATGAATCATTTTTGTTCAAAAGAAAAGAAATGGGAAAAATTAATTTTTTTAATTTTTTTATTGAGACTTGCTAAATAGTAAGATTATAAACCTTGCTATTTTTTGAGTTAAATCAACGTTAAAGACATTTCAACATCTTGTCAACTGGAATTTTTGAGATATACACAGAGTAGTAAGAGTAGTATATGATTCATGCTCAATGAAATGAGGAATTTTCAAGAATTCATGTGCAATATATAACTAAATTTCCATTATTTATACCAACAGTTCTCTTCAAAATATGATCAAATTTGAATAAAAGAGATTAATTTGGTTTGTATTATTTCGTTTGGAAATTCATCTACTCAATACAAAATTAAAATTAAGTGTCTTGGAAACATGGCCATTCCCGTTGCTTTGTATGTAATTAATAGCTTAAATTAACATTTAAAATTTCATGATACAAATTAACCTTCCATGACATGTTGATAGAAATTTTAAATTTTAAAAACTTATGAAGAGTAATCATTATGTATCTATGTTATAGTATGAACCATATTTCCAAATGAATTTGAGAGTAAATTTTGGAAGGTACTCGAAATACAGAGATCACATGAATTTACATATAACAGAAAATTTACTGCGCGATATCAAACAGCTATCTAACAAAAGCATTACGCAAATTAAAATGATAGCATTTAACAAAAAAATATTAAAAGTTTTAAATGAGCACTGTCAACAAGAAATTTCTATATGAATTTGAACGAAACGAAAATTTTTTATGGAACACTGACCAAATCCATTACCTTGATGATAATATACTTTGAAACAAATAAAAAATGAATAATAAAAATAAGCTAAAATTATTGCAAATGGCTGAAAATAAATACATCTTTTATTAAACTAAAAGTCTACATTAATTTTTTGGATGCTTTTGTGGGAGGGATTTCACAATTGGTGCTAATTTTGTCCTTGAGATTAAGATTTAATGGACTCGCGTAACAGTGGGATTTTCATAATCGTTGTGTAAAGATGGCTGCTCAGGGTTCTCCTGATTTCGCTAGTCTTTATGAATTGAAAGAAGAACTTGGACGGTACTTTGTATAATTAAAAAATAATAAATTTTTTAGTGGAGCCTTTTCTGTAGTTAGAAGATGCATTCAGATATCAACAAACCTCGAATTTGCTGCCAAAATTATTAGTACTAAAAGACTAGCCACTCGCGGTAATATTTTATAAATTATTTTATTTTGCGAATTACCTGACTTACTTCTTATCTCGATTTTACGCTCGTTTGCACATTATCTTTTGACTAAATATTTTATTAAGGTAGAATTTTACTTACTCATTTATCTCTGGAATAGTTTATTTTTCTTTTATGCATTTGTTCTAAATAAAAATAGTCTGTTTACTTAAAATTTTTGGTAGATATGCAAAAGCTTGAGAGGGAGGCTCGTATCTGCCGTCGTCTCAAACATTCAAATATCGGTAGGATTACTTTTTTTCTCTGCACTTATTTTTACTATTGTGACTTATATCGTGAATTTTTTAGTCCGATTGCATGACTCAATCCAGGATGAAAATCACCATTATCTTGTCTTTGACTTGTAAGTGTTTTTGAAGGAATTTTTTATTTAGCTTTAACTTTGTTTTCATTAATTTTATTTCTGCAGAGTCACTGGAGGTGAACTCTTTGAGGATATTGTCGCTAGGGAATATTATAGTGAAGCAGATGCAAGGTGAAGATTAATTTAATCTTTCGAATTTATTTCCACTTGACATTTTTCTTGAAATATAATTCACCAACTTTTTTATCTTCATGCTATCGCTTTTAACTTCTCTCCTTCTTTAGCAATTGTATGAAGCAGATTCTTGAAAGCGTCAACTATTGTCATCAAAATAATATTGTCCATCGCGATTTGAAGGTTTGTTACGAGATTAATGACGTCCTTGTGCACCTATATGTGCATGCTTCAACTTCATCTAACCCCTATTTAGCCATGTCATCACATCTATAACTGCATGATAATCATTTGGTGTTGTGCCAACTCAAAGTGCGCAGTTTTTCTCTTCTTAGCTGCTTCTTTGTGATGCTTCATTATATTTTTAAAATTATTTACCAGGACTGATAAGTGCTAATTTCATCATGTGAGATCACTTATGATCATACTTTGAGTATCAAGATCTTATTTAAAAGTGACCTTTGTGCTATCGAAATAAATTTATTTTGCACCATGTATGCTATTATACTAGCACACTAACTTGTTAACTTGTTTCCACTCAATATTTTTTACTTGCAATTCTTCTGGAATTTTCTTACCTTATTTTATTAGCCAATGAAAATATGTATTATTGGACTTCCATTTTTTGCTAATCGTCTATTTTATTGATTTTTTCCCTATCTTCTATTAGAAGCATAATGCTTGGCTGCATTTATCTATATATTTGGTAACCTTGTTTCTTCTTGAATGGGCGTATTCTTCAATTGCTACTAGCCTAGAATTTATTAATTTGAACGTTTATTTCAGTTTACAGAATGAAGAAGCATTGCTAACGCTGTCTTGACTATCAGAAAATACCCTTTTAGTGAATCAAAATTATCTTTATATATATTTAATTTCCCCCTCCTATACATATTCGTTCAGTTAGTGAAGTATATTTCGGTCTTAAAAGCAATCTATCAAAAGTGCTGATTGTTGACATATTAAGGCTGTAATTTTTCAAATACTTAATACGAAAATTTAAAGCCAGATAGAACTAATTGCTTGCTTGATCTTACAGTTCCTTGTGTTTGTATTGAAGCAATTTTAGAATAATTCAACTGAATAGCCTGATGAAGTTTCTGTCTATCAAATGCTTTCTTAATGTGAATTATTTGTTTCAACCCGATAATAATTATTCTCAATTCTATTGAGTTGCAATTTCCTATTTCCTCTACAATTCCAAAATTCGTTTGAGCAGATACTCCGAGTTGTTTTTTTCTTTATTAACGACTTTATTTGCTGAAGTTCAATTAATCACTTTCAACTGCTTTCTAAAAATTGGTCTCTATTTTTATTCAAAAAAAAAAAATAATTCCAACTGCACTGTTGAGCTAAAACAGATCATACTTATTATTGCTCATTAACTTCAGTTTACTTGACATAAATATCCATAAATTCTCTTTGAAAGAGCTGATTCGTGCACAATGCGATTACTTCTCTATCTACAAGGCGTATGCAAATGAAGGGAACTAACGGCTAGAATTTCTATTCAAAAGCATATTTTTTATATAATCATAATTTCCCATGCTTAGCTCTACCTTTCACAATTTCGGATATCTTTTTCCAATGTTATAAGCCTTCCTCTGATCCACTAGATTCATTACATTTTTGACCTTCAAATCTCTAGTCTTGAAGGAGCATTTTTCCCTGCTCATGCGGCGATAGAGTTGCAATCAGAACTCTTTTGACTGGTCATTTGCTTTGACATTAATCATTTGGCAAAGCATTTATAATTAAACAAGCCCCTTTGCGCGCATGTCTTCCAAACTGTGTGTACTCTAAAGAATATTATTCACCTCTCTTGTAAATAATACACAATTATGTTGTATTAAATTAAATCGGTCCTTGATTCGGTCCTATTTTCCAGTTGTGTATTTTCGAAGTTCATAAAATGGTAAAAAGAGGAGAGAAGTTATTCAAATCAGGACACTTTCATCAACATGTCGATTCAGTAAATAAAAGATATGACATGATATTCCTTTATTTGAGATCCCTTACTATCCAGGTCTGATGATTTCATTTATTGTTCATATCACTCGGTTAGTTTAGAATTGAGAGAGTTATTCTGCGTTCTGAACTGTTGCATATCATCTAAGGTATAACTAAGTCCTGATGAAGGTGGCTTTGCAAGCATTCACAAACAATTCCCCCCCCCCACTCAAGATAGGTACGCTAATCAATACTTGTCTGACCCGGCAATCCATTCACAAGATGCATGACACAACAGAGTTTGCACCTTTTTCTTACCGATTATGCGTTCAGGTGTGGAATAACACTTGATGAATTTTTGTGTCTATTTCTTTTATTCGTTAGCCGGAGAACTTGCTTCTGGCTAGCAAAACTCGTGGAGCTGCAGTCAAATTGGCGGATTTCGGTCTGGCAATAGAAGTACAGGGTGACCAATTCGCCTGGTTCGGTAAGTCCCCATTTCCACTTACCGTGTTTTTTCCCCTTTCCCCCCATGCATTACCTCTTGGGTTGAGGTCATCTTTAGGTCACATGCAGAAATTACAGTCCATACTTAGTAGTTCCCGTTTCCATTTCGACGGCATTAAGGAAATATAAATTAGAATATGGTTGGATTTAGAATATCGATCTTTCTAAGTAACAAAAAAAAATATAAATTAGCCCATTGCAGTACACTTTGATGTTTATTTACTTGCCTGTTCGAATCGTTTGAATCTTCTATTTGGTATACGTTGGGTGTTTGGGTCTTTTCAATTCTATTGAGCAGACATCTTTCTCATTCTCATCACAATTTCTTTTTTTCAAGACAACTGAAATGCGAGAGTTGTCTTGTTGCCAAACCTGATTTCTTGCTTTTCACAAATCGCGAGTTGCTTTAGTAAAATGACAAGTAAAGTTAATTAAGGGGGAGGTGCTGACAACTCTTGAATTGAGAAGAGAGACCAAGCACTCAGGCAGCCAGTACTGTCGGCTATCCTATGCTGGTCTCTGTTCTTTTTCCCCTAATACCATTTAAAACGATGTGGCTTGTGTACAGAATAATCGATTTTGGTAGTTTATCTCTTTCACAGGATTCACTGGTTATCATTGACGCTTTCTTCGTCGAATTGCCATTCACACTTTAAGCCAATGGAAATTAGACTGAATCATTTGATTCGCATTCAGATCACTTGAAGTCAACGTCTTAGATCGAACTATTAGTTTTTGTGATTCAAAGTTCTTTCTTGAGTATTTAATGCGGTGGTATTAAAACTTTTATCTCCTTCATTTCAGAATTTCTCATTATTTGGTGTGGTTTCCTCAATCGTATTGCGAGCGCTAGTTCGTAGGTTGTGTAATGCTGACATGGCCAGCGTATTTAGGTGCTGAAATATATTCTGGCATATAATGTTAGCTTGATGTTTGGTTGGGAGGAAAGACATCTTGTTGATTTCTGTGAACTTCTTGGAGTAGTCTCGTGAACATGTTGAATACTTTTTTGGTGAACAAACCATATATACATGGTTGCGTTTGGTGTTAAGGACTGATCCTTTACGTCTAAATTTGGCAGTTATTTTCTGGGCGATCTTACAGTAGTAATTGTGAGGATATTTTGTGGTGAAGTGTTCACTTAACATTGCAAACGATTTATACCCCCAATAGGTTTCAACTATAAACGCTCTTTGTTCGACTGAAAATGGAATTTTGTATTCACGATCGGTATTAACAAGCGACAGCACAACACAACATTGAACAATACACCGTTCACAACAAATGACCACTGAACAGCTTGTAATAATCCTACACAAGGGCCCAATATTACTTTTAGTATGACATAGGGCATGGTATTTCTTTTATCTCGGCAACACTGTAGAACCTTTTCATTGGTCTATTAAATTAATCTTCATCACCAGTCGAGCGCTGATCTGTGGAAAGGATATTAACAATTGAGTATTTTATTCTCCCATAGATTGACGTTGTGAAGCATATTATTTTCATACATGATATTTCATACTGGATACTTCAAAGTTTGCATCACAGTTCTTTTAATTGCTTTCATTTCAAATTCAATTAATCGTATTGACGCCTTTCCTCAAATTTGTCCAACTCTCTTGGACGATTAATTTTATATGCGGTTAAATGCTTTCTAATGGGTATCGCCAATATATTTTTTTGACATAATTGCCACAATCACTCAGCGAACTATGATCACAAAGTGCAAGCATTATGGCCCTTAAATTGTTTTTTTTCTACTAAATTGGAAGTCTTTAAAGGGAAGTGCTCTACAGAGATTTCTTTGATCACTTTGACCGGATTTATGACGAGGGAACCCGTTCTATATTTTACAAAATGTAATTATTCTTGAAGCTAAACATTTGTGCATAAAGTGAGCATGAGGAGACCACATGGAGTTTCTTTTCAAGTTTAATTTGTATTTAATTAACTGCCTGCAGTTTCTCAAGTCCCTATGACCTCGAATTTCACATGACACTTATTTTTCCTCTCGAAATTGATAACGCGTGTTAATAGCCTTGAACATGCAAACGTGGGGGAGATCTTTATGATGGTAGCCGCTTGCTATTCGAATGACTATTTCTCTCACTGGTTTCTAGTTGAATTGAAGTTAATTTCCCGCTGTAGTAAATGGTGACCATTCCTTTGAATATAAAATTTTAATAGCAGCCGGCGAATGGATTGAATGTTCACTGAAATATTGCTTTAAAGAACGTATTTGATGTGAACTAGCAACTGTTTGCCAGGCGTCAAAATGTATTGCCACAGTATAGAATGTTTGCGAGATATAGTGGAGTTCCCCATACGCAGTTGCTATTTAATAATTGCCAACTGTTTGTGCGTAGATATATACTAGGAGCTTCCAATCTTACTGTCTTCTCAATGACCTTGCCTATGGTCCAATCATACCTCTCATTATTTTCCCTAAATATTTTAATGCATTTGGCGTATTTTTTCCGCACCAAGTTTGCTGCCCCAATTATTGCATTTGGCTGTCTCTCAACATGCATCCTTTTACTGGAGCTTTCACACTGCTTCTGCCTTTTGAGCCCTACTTCTATTAATATCACCAATCAATTTGTTTCGTGCGGCGCATATCCTTCGGCCTATGCACGATTGATTATTCATTACTGTTGCTTTTGACAATGCAATAAAAATGAATTCATAATACTGGAGAGTATTTCTGCTAGGAGAACAGGAAAGTTGGCATTTATAGATAAGAAATGCGGGCGTGTCGTTGAAGTAGAGAGTGGCTTGGAGAATTCAAGGAATATTGAAACTATTTATTGTTCATACTGTCTCTTATACTAGCGTTCCATTTTCAGAATTTGAGTTTAACATTTCTGAGTGCGTTCAGGTATTATTATTATTATTTGATCAAATTGTCTCTTCCAGTAGTCAAAGCAACTAGTTGTTGCGCGCTGAGATGGTTCTTACTTGATTAAATATTACTTAAGTTCGTTTAAGGTGAAAGACCACCTATATTTATTTATTTATTTCAAGTGGCGGACTTTATGATACTTATCATTAGCCCTTTAGCTGACTTCGAGCTTCACAAAGGAGAGGAACATCAAAGTGAGGAAAGTGGAGGGGGAAGGGGAACAGAAGAGTGACTCAAAGATGTTAAAGAGACAGACAGACACAAAGGCAGAGAAAAGGTAAAGGGAGTACTGTGGAAGTGATTTAATGTGGCATACAGTGGGGTCATGGTAGTTTGAAGTCACAAGTCAACTGTCAGTTTAAAGACTTGCCGTATGAGTAAACGTTGCCCAGGGTGCACCACGTGGAGGTGAGTCTATCGCAAACCCCAGACCACCTATATTGAACACGTATTTAGTGGCATAGTTTTTGGCAACTTCAATGTTTGCTATCGCCTAAACGAATGCGGAACTCCAAAAGTTGAATTCCGTTATCAATGAATGCACCAATTATCACATAAAATGGTATACTTCTGCTGTCAAATGGATCATCTGATCAACGAATAAAGCTTAATATGATTAAGAAAGTTATATTTATTTATTTATAACAAATGGCAGGCGTTTTGATAGTTATCATTAGCCCTTTAGTTGACTTCGGGCTTCACAGAGGGGAGGAGGAACATCAAAGTGAGAAGAATTCAGGAGGGGGAATAGAAGGGTGTTTCAAAGATGTAAAAGAAACAGACACAAAGGCTCAGAAAGGGTAAGATGAGTAGTGGTAGGGGTCGAACATGCCATACAGTGGGGGTGATGGTTGTTTGAAGTGAGAAGTCAACTGCCGATTAATAGACTTTTTTGCAGCATGAGTATACGTTGCCCAGGGTGCACCACGTGGAGGTAAGTCTATCGCACACCCTAATTATTTTCCTCAACAATATTCACAGCCAAATTCCAGTCGATTTTACAGCCGTGGAAATCAATCGTACGAAGGACTCTCAAATCACAATGGTGTCCATGACTTTGCATAACTAGTATTTAGACGTGTGATCAATAGCAAAGTGTTGAAGATCCGCTGATTGTTTTGACACAAATTCATTTATACCTAACATCGTAGTTGTATGATATTTAGCCTATTTGGTCGCAAGTGGCTCTAACTCACCTTGTCCTCTTCCTGTTGCCTGCCTGAATCATAACTTGCTTGTTCGACCCTCCCCCCCCTCCCCCACCCACATTGATCAATGTGAGCAACTCCCCAGCATTGAATTAAAAGTTATTGAAAGATTGAAAAACAAACGAGGTCCTCTCTCTTTTGAAATGGTGAATCATGCTTTAAATGTGTCTATTTTTGATAATGTGTCAGTTGCGTGTCTGTGTGGCTCAAGAGGGACATTCAAATTTTATTATTGTCTCTAATGTAAATAGACCACCTACTACTGTTTTATAGACAACAGGTCTGGAGCAATCGCCAACTCTGAGTATTAAAGAATCGCTTTTTAATGATCAATCTTCGTGAAAATAAGCATTGGTGTCAACGCTAGATGATGATTGGTCACACTCAAGTATATTCCCCAAAAGAAGATGTAGGAAGTAGTTTTCACATGTTTCCCAATTATTATGCAATTGCGAGATATGATTTCTTCAATCTATGGTTCTATGTCACTTGAATCACCAATGCCCATATTTTATGGTCAAATGTGTTTATTAATTATGGCGACTTCTCACTAGTATTTATTACTTCCTTTCTAGCTCATGATCTGAGGAAAATCGATTGAATAATAATTTACTCACTTTTTCATTCAACATCTTTACTTCAAATGGAAGAGTATATTTGGTGTTATGATAGCTTCTAATGTAACATCATGTATGTAGACCCAATGAACCCGGGTAAGATGCATCACAAGTGTCCTAACTCAAAGTCATTTACTGATTTTATAGTCTTTTTGATGCTCAAATTGTTTATAACTTTATAAATCGGTTCTACCAAAATTTCAAGAGCAGAGGGGCTGCCTGCTTACTTCCTTTCAGTGATGGAATTGATATGCCCGAGATGTTTATTGTTTATCACGATATAAAACAGAGGTATGTGACATTGAGCCAGGTATTATTTAGTCCAACAGGATTTCAATACGCTATTTTAATTTAATTGAAAATTGCCAAGTAGCACTGTTTAAGTTTACCTCACACACACATCTGCTAAGTCCAGTGTATTGAGATCGATGTTCATCAGTAGAATTTCCTTGTAAACAATAAGAGTAGTATATTCACTTTGAAAGTTATTAGCGCTTCCCTTAAAGGGTCTCGCTTAACTTAATTTCTTCCACTCTACGTGCTCTCTCAGAAAGACTTTTAGGCACTAAATTTGTTTATTAGGTTTTAAATTATATTTCTATCATATATAAGTGGAGGAGGGGCTTTGACAGAGGCAAAGCGAAACTTTTTTCGAATGTATCTCCCGGTGATCGCTAAGGTGGAGTCAGTCTAATATTACTTGATTGTACCAGATTTAACCAGGTGCACTATTAAATATATATGGCTTGCATTTATAAATTCACCATAACAAGTTCGCCATTTGGGTCAAGCTTAATCTCCTCCCCGAGGGACATTTTCCATTTTCCCCTAGCGTATATGGACACGCTACTTGGTCCAGTGTACTTTCAAGATAACTTGGGTCGATGTAAGAAATTAAACCAGCTAGTATCTGGCTCGTAAGGGGTGCTGTTTTACTATCCCTTCTTCACGTCCGAGAGGCCTCTTACCATCTTGTCATCTCGGTTATATTTTTACATTCATTTACTCTTTGTCAAGAGCGATGAATTCCAATATTTATAGATGGGTTTGATTCCAATCTTGCAGACTTCTTGCTTAAGATGTTGACCTGAAAGGAATATTCCCCCCCCCCCTCTTCAACTCTTACCCCTCAGGTTAAAGTGACGGCCGTACTGTGCACTTGGTTTAATGGGAGCAGAATGGTGACTTTAGACAACTGATATGTGCCGCGTAAAAAGACGTATTGTGAATTTTTGTGTTATCCAAGATCTCAGTGTCTGATCACGTGTTAAACTTGCTTGAGTTTTATCAACTTCTTCCTGTCGCCAAGCTTATCTAATTCGTGCATCTTCATATTTTCGTTAAGACGTAAAATTATCAAAAGGTGTTCCCCGGGGTCTTCAGTTAGTTTACGATTATATTTCATATGGCCCCCATGCGAAAGCAAGCTTACTTGAGGTAACTAAAATTCAATATGAAAGGTTGTTAGACGAATTTCAAATGTTGTTGGAAGAACAGTAATTTAACTCGATAAGCGAATGCAGGCGGGTGATTCGATTGGTAGTAGGCCACGTCGTTCGTGAGTATTTTGAGAATAATGAAAGTAGAATTTGAGCTGACTAAAAGTACAACTTGGGCCAAAAGGCAAACGTTCCTGCCTTAATTCCCCCTTTTATAGGAACTAAAACCCGTGTACTCATAATTAGGCCTATACATAGCACTTATATAGGCCATAAAGTGTTGAAATTTTCGGCAAAATTTTGCTTTATAAAGTTTTTTCCTTCTGTCATCTTGACAGCACAACAAATCAGTTTCCAGAATCCTCTGTTTAGTGTAATAATCCCCGTCTTCTTTTCTATCTGCTTGTTACTAAGTAGGAAAGTATCATTGAGGCCTCTCCGTGTGAAACTCGAAATCTAATACCACCTTTATTAACTAGACTTCACCAATACGGTCGGCAATTTTATCCACTTTATCACAGATACACAGATGCCAACCGAACCACAACCTCTGACTTCGTAGATGAATGCGTTACTATCGGTTATCCATTATTCTACACCTCTTCAGTTTTCTGCTCTTCGTTGTCTTTGTCTTTTTTTATTGGTAGGAGATCTTAGCAACATCCTCTTAAAAAGGTTTATTTAGTATTCACTATCTCGCATGTTGCAAATTTGTAAAGTAATTTGCATTTCAAATGTGACGGGAAGCAAAACGAACTAATATTGTAGGAGTCTGCTTTCATATCCTAAGTTGACGGTGTATGTGTATGTGTGTGTGTGTGTGTAATTTCTAATTTCTTTCAGGTTTTGCTGGAACACCGGGATATCTCTCACCTGAAGTTCTCCGAAAAGAACCTTATGGGAAACCTGTGGACATTTGGGCTTGTGGTATGTTTTTTAGTATTTTATTTTATTATTAGTCTTATATGATTTGAGCTTAGCTACCATTGGTGAGGGGTACATCTTAGAGGGATTTTGCCCTTATCATTGACTGTTATTGCTTAAAGGTTATTAAAAAGGGAGACACGATTTGACAATACTAAATGCTGGAACTGACAGAGAAGAGACTCTCGAACGGGGACGAATATCAGTGGAATGGAAGTGGAATGATGAAACATTTTTTCCTAAATCCCAACAGCCTGTCACTTTGAGCTTGGAAGCATCTAGAATATTCCATACTATCATGGTCAAATCTGTTACATTCTCTTGTTAAATTTAGTTTTGAACTATGTTTAGAAGTAGGATTTGGACTTACCACGTTTGGAATTTTTCTCCTCTTATCTGTTATTATAGCCTAGTCCCGCTTGCATCACATTAAAACCTTTCTGCTTCCAACTCCAAACCAAACATATTTGGGAGGCGTTTTTTTGTAACTCTCCCACGTCTTGGGCTTTTTTTTATTGGATTTAGATGCAGAAGCATGGGCCATTGATGAGGGGATTAGATCATCCCGGCTAAAATTGTCCCTTCGACTACTATTCCAAGATAGGTAGGTAGGCGCTCATTTTGCGGATTTACATGAAAGGAATGCAACATTTTGATGGTAAATGCTGGTGGTTTATGAGCTCAGTGACTCATTACAATTGAAATGCGTATTTTGTGTTACGTTACGCCTAGGTAAGCATACAGGACTAACGCGTGGAAATTAAAAAAGAAGAAAACGACTCAATTTTACTAATGGTAGTCGAATGAGAAATGGTCGATAGAGACGGACTTCATGATATCTTATTTTCAATGAAGTTAAAGACGCAATCAGTTTGGGGGGTTTTGGCGTTATTTAAAGTTCCCATGGGCGGCTTAGTGATTTGTGTACAAAACTGACGCAACTGTGAAAACTGTTTGTCTACATTCAGTAAATTAAAAGGTCATTTATTAAAAATGAGCTTGATTTAATAGGATAAATAGACGCACTGGTACGGCTAATGGGAAATGGTTTTGGAAAAGGAAAGAGAGATTCACTCCATTGGAATCTTTGCTCACCTCATTGAATATATATGCTGTTGCTTTTTAAAATGATAGTTTTGAAAGGCTGAGATTCTTGGATGCTTTGTTATAAAACACAAATTAAGCATTGAAATTCTTGGTTGATCATTACTTTTGAGAAACAGTTATCCTCTCGATGGTGAAAGAGCATGTCTTCCTTAGAGGTCATTTAAACTACATTGAAATCGTTTTCTCTTGAACATGTTCAATGCTCATTGGTGCGCACTAGGTGATGTAGCTGACCAAGTGGGCCTGATTTAGTACGGTCAACAGGTAAGATGACGGAATGCAAGTATCTCTTAAGAGCCACTACTCGAATCCTACCTACTGAAATCAAATCATATCTCCTAGCGATTTTTGGAATTGTTTTTAAAACCAAACTGATGGGCTTCAAATGTCAAATTTTCCTCCCCTCCTCAAAGTTTGACATATCCACATCTTATTTTTTCTCTTATTATTATTATAATAAGTTAGACAAATGATATTATTTCTATGTTGTTTTCCCCGTAGGTGTAATTCTCTACATTCTCCTGGTCGGTTACCCACCCTTTTGGGACGATGACCAAAACCGTCTCTACAATCAAATCAAGTCAGGATCTTACGAGGTTTGTAACGCCTAAATCATTAATCAATTGTTGTGGTTATATGTATAGTTATTCATTTGATAATTTACTTATATTAAATGACAGGCTTTATGCTAGTTATCATTCGGGCTTCACAGAGGGGGAGGAACAGACAGTCACAAAAGGGGAAGGGGGGGGGGACAAAAGGTGATTCACAGATGTAAAAGAGAAAGACAGAAAAAAGATAAGATGAGTACTGTGGAAGTGGTCGAATTTGGCATACATTGGGGTCATGGTAGTTTGAGGTCAGAGGTCAACTGCCAGTTTATAGATTTTTTGCCGCATGAGAATACGTTGCCCGGGGTGCACCACGTGGAAGTAAGTCTATCGTACTCCCCTTCATTTGATCATAAACCCCCAATCATTCTACAGAGGCTACATATAGCTTAGTTATTTTAGTTCATGTGTCTTTATTAGCTTAATAGCATATTTGCTAAAATTAAGGCCTATTCTTTTTTTTTTATATTTACAATGCTAATAAAAGATCATTCACATACAATGGGTCTTAATTGTTGTTACGTTTTTTCGGTGCCTTTTTTGGTGAACATTTTCAAGTGAAATGAATTGCAGGCTGTTAATAAAAGTCTGTTATTGTTCTTCTCATTGCTACTATGTATATTTTTAAACGCATTCAATCAACACTAGCTACAGTTTAGATCTTTCCTAACTGAAAGACTGGCTAAAGATCTGACGTAAGGGCAAATTCTGCTACCTCGCCAAAGTTATAGATGGGTACTATAGAGGGCCATTTGCTAGAGGAGGTCATTTATACAGTTTTAATAGGCCTCTGTTCAAAACCTTTTTGAGTCCATTCAGTTTCAAACCCAGTGACTATCATGGTGGTGGTGGTGGCGTAATTAAACTTACTGATTAAGCTATCTCTCAACTTAAAAACGATTTCTTGAGTTTATAGTTTGCTGGGATAATTGTCCGTTGGTATTTCCCGAATTACTTGTCTGCAAAGTCCTGTTGTGACACGTCAGTTGATTAGTAGGTGAATTGATCTCTCTCTGGACTAAAATAAATGCCAAGCAAATAAAATTTTATACGATTGTGGAGGCCTCAGAGTATCAAATCGGTAATAGAGCATTAAATTAGCAGTCTGAAATTTCACTCACCCACAGTTTCCGCCACGGAATTTATATCGTCTGGGGAATTGGCGAGACAACACCCCTCATCTTTTCCGTCCATTTCTCCACCTTCCTGTCTGTCCTTGAGGTGATGGTAAATTCTTCTGCCACATAGGTGGAAGGAGCGGGTGTGGCGATAACGGCTGACGGTCGTAAAAATATAGACTTATTTAACCACGTCCTCTCCCCCCCCCCCCCCCCCCCCCCCCTCCTATTTGTTCAACTAGCTCCTATCATTGGATTTTGAATGAGAAATCAATAACTTAGAAAAAAATAGGCATTGCCATGTGTAGCTAATGCGTCTGAATTTTAGCCATTATTAGGATTAAGGAGCTTATTCCTGTTTACAACAGGGAATAAATTATGCAAAGTGGTCCTGAAATTCGACTCTATACGGACATTCCGATTTGGTATGTTTGCTTGAATTAAGTAATTGCTAACTTTTGCTGACGATTGCCTATCTTATTCTGCAATTTATCCCTCCCATCACCATTCTCTTCTTTTCTGTCAATTTTCCTCCACAAACTCCCTCTCTCTCGATTTATTCTCATCTGCTTGGATTTGCACAATTTATTCACTTCAGGAAGGGCACGTTTCGTAGCATTCTTTTTTGACAACTGCATTATTGAAGCACCAGAAGAGTATTGTGCATATGATAGCGCCACTGGGACCTACTCTTCCCATGGGAGACAGTGTCCCACTTAAGGGAGTAATTTGCTAGTTACCACTATTGTATTATGTGTGTTTACTCTTTTTATCGACACCACCTGGCGCATTTATGCTTGCGTGTGTGCTAACCGCCTCTTTCTGAGTTTTGAACTTGAGAGATTGATCTCACCTTTTACCGTTTAACTAGTTTCTATAAGGCGAATCTAACTCAGCGCCTACGTGGAGGGCCACAAAATTACTATCGATGAAGGTGCTCACCTTAAGTCACCCCATCAATACATGCGCTTGGCAGTGCTGATTAAGGTTACCCCCCCCCCCCATCCGTTTAACCCCCTCCCCGGCTCCTTCCTACCGTTTCAAGATTTACGAGTTTTTGGGTCACGAGTTGCCAGTTCCTGCAATATTTTTGGCACGCGCTGAACGAGGGGGTTAAAAGTGTGTGTGTGTTCTTCTAGTCAATTGCAATACTTATCCACGTAATTGGGAAAGATTTCGAAAAATGCGAGACTTGGGTTCATTGTCAAACACGCGCTGGAATCGCAGTATTATTTAACAGATGTTAGACCAATAGTTTCATTGTAGTCTATTTTGCGCTGATTGGTCAGAGATGGTTTACTTCCGCGTATGTTTTACGTCTAATTGATTATTTGCATCATTAATATATTCGCCGGTTTTGAGAGTCTGATGATGGTTATAAATCCTTACATACGGATATCCATAAAGCGGTTATCTGTGAGCAACTCTTACTTCTAACTTAGCCGCCTTCCTTGTGCATTATTTTCATGTTCCAGGTTTCATAAAAGACGGAATAGTAAGTTGATTATCAACCACACACTCATATCTCAATAAAATAAAACTTGCTAAATTTTTCTCTCATTATTAATGCATAGTTGTTTCGCAATGAAATTCTTGACGGCCTCAATTTCTTTTTTTCAATTTTGTTTTCTTTTCTTATGCTGATGGCAATTTCAAGGTCATCAGATTTCCTTTCATTTGTCCAAACGTTCCTGTTTTCTCCTTCACTATAGGGAGATAATAGGCGAAATCTCATGCTGTTTTAACAAAATTAAATGGCCTATGCAATATAGAGTACTAATACTTACTGTTATTATTTAAATCGTTTCTAGTTATGACACTTTCAAATGATTTTAAACTTTGCTATAACACCTCGGATCACAGAGGGGAAGATGAGAGAGATTTAAGCTGACAAGGCTAATATCGCATCCAACTATTTATTGACTAAATGGAGTAAATATCGAAATAATTAGAATAAAGTTTATTCAGATTTTGATTGATGAAGAAGCTTTAATTAATCACTGGTGTTTCATGTCCAATAGCGATGAATTGTCACCGCTTATTCAACTGACCAATCGATGAATAATCTGCGTATCGACGGGGAGGAATCGACATTGCATTTGCAATGAACGGCGAAACCTTCTTTTCACTCAGTAGCTCAATTTTGATATTTAAAAACGTTCGACACCACGAGTGCAGGTTCAATTTGAAATATTGAATCTCATTTACAATTAACACAGCTACTACCTTATTATCCTTTACGTATAACCTTACAGTATGTTGAAAAGATCTTTAATTCTCCTGAATCAATATGAAGTAATGCGCATTGAAACTTGGGCGTTGCTGACCAATTATTCGACTTAATGCTGACCGACTTCTGTTGTCTTCCCTCAATGACGTCATTACATTCAGCAGTGTTTGGCTATTCTGATATCTTCAATGCTGTTCTCTCTCAAGACTGTTTTAATTCCCTCCACTCTCTTAGCTAAAGAATGCGGAATAAATAATTGACTTCTGATATACGGTATTGTTCCTCCTTGCAAAGTTTCGGCTTTTTTATTGTGTGATAGATGTCATTGACAGCTGGCGATAATTTATCCTGTTTCCTGGCTGCATTTTCATGCTTATATATTCATAATTTTTACCCTCAAGTGTAATTTTAATTACCGCAAATCATTATGTTAAATACTACGGCGGTGTTTTTGTTAGAGGTTTCTTCTCTGCAAAAAAGTGGGAGATGGCTTGAAAATAAAATGCAGCAGCGGCAACAGTAGTAAATACTTAAATGCGCCTTTTTTAACTGAACAAACACCCCCTCCCCTCCCCCTAGCTTAGAGGGTGGGGTTATATAATCTTGAGCATTTCAAGAAGTGGTATCAGTATTAAACTTGTGTGGAGAGTAGGTATCCTGATTAGAATTAAACTGTCCGATTGACTATTGGAACCACTGGATGAACGACGATATCTCGCCTTCGAACTTGACAGATGTACACTTTGATGACTGTATCACCAATGCATTCTCATTCCTCTAACGTCTGATTTTTTTACTGAACGTCATATTCTTGTTATGCTAATTGAACTCCTTCTCCTTTGGCTAGTATCCTCCTCCTGAATGGGATACAGTGACGGCTGAGGCAAAGAATTTGATCAACTCAATGCTCACAATGAACCCTACGAAACGTATCACCGCCGCCGAGGCTCTCAAGCATCAATGGATCTTCGTAAGTCTCCACCCCTTTCTTTAATCCCCGCATCTGTGAAGTCTACTGCCCATTTAAAAGTCTTATAGGTGTGTGTGATGGCCTCAATTAGTGCTTCATACTCCTAACAGTTAGCAGCTGCTAATCGCAACCCGTGAATTCCTCTTACCTATCTTTCCTACGTCACCGCATTAAAAGATGGAGGACGATCTAAGGAAATCTGTTTTAGGGGCTACTATTGCACGGTGATGCAAAGGGGGCTGTGGAAAGTAGTTTTTATGAACTACTGGAGTTTGAATTTAGCTGTCACCGATAAGACAATGATCATGATGGCATAATCTGTTTTGAGCTCTATTTCTCTCAATATCACTTTTTTTAGATTACTTGACACTTTAAGCACAATTGCTTTCTGACAGGTCTTACATCAATAATAAATCAACAGTTGTGTCTGAATGATTAATGCTTAAAATGAGAGAGGTCTAGTATTTATTAAGCAGGAAGATGAATTATTGTCAATTTTGGTTTTCACATTGTTGTCGTATCTGCTGTTAATCGAGTGACAGTGACAGAGAACTTCTGACCCCCCCCCCCCCTAGGGGGCGCTCCATATATAGAACACAGAGGCAGGCGAGTGTGACATTTTTGTCTGTGTGCCACTAATGCAGTACTGTTGCTTGTGGACAAACCAGCTACAGGGTGTATTTATAGATCGACCTGGCCTCTAATCAGTTGCCGATTAATTGCACTTCAATTTGACAGTGTCGCACGCAAGGTACTCCAAATTTATAAAGTAGTATTGATGAAATTGGAAAATTCATCTAGTTAGTGTTCTGAGAAGATATACCAAACTTCTAATTTTATTCAAACTGTCTCAATTGTGAGTAATAGAAATATCGATAGGGCATGTCTTAAAAATGGCTATTGGAAAAATTTTCAAAGTATGTAAAGTGTTAGAGGTGAATCTTATTTAAATGGATCCTATCCTTCATTAATAAAAAAAAAGCGAGAACCTCATTAACGGGACTTATTTTAAAAGTCCTTCCTTCTGTTCCAAAACGTGACATAGTTGTCTTTATCGGCTTGTTTAACAAATTGAAATTGACTCTCAGTGAATTTGAATAATTTCATAGCGATGCTCTGCACCAAAATGGAACGATGAGGTGATAAGAAGACATTCATTATTCTTTAATGAAATGCAGAAAAGATATTCCCAAAATCACCCCCCCCCCAGTATGAATAAATGAGGAAGTCAAGAAGACGAATTGTTATAGTGATGAGATTGGAATAACTGGGAAACGAATTGATGCTTAAAAACAAATCTAATTCTGTTTAGTTTCTTATTCCAAATTCAGCAATCTCCGTTTACCCAGATAGGTTCGCGATAGTCTTATTGAGGGCCGTAGAGAATAGGAACAGCTACTGATCAGCTGTAAGGGAGAGAGATAGAGGGTCGAGCTACAAAGCAGAAGGGATAAGAAGGTCCATGTCGATAGGAACTTGATCGAGATGGCCGAAGTTGTAGAAGAAGGAACTGACTTGGTGTTAGTCTAGAAAGCAAAAATGTCTGAGTCTGGCTTGGAAGAAAGTTGCAGGTTGATAAATTGATTATGCTATCCAGATGAACGGTCTCGTCACATCAATTTATGATCTTACATGGTATTAAGTGGGTTAGTTGATCTTAAGATGATACAAAAATGAGGTAGTTACAGACATGTAAGTTAACGCAGCTCCATATGCTGCAGGCATAGAGGATAACTACTTTTCGTGCCAGTTGCATTAATTACATTCTGATTATTGCATGATATCCGACGCGTGACCCCTGTGGTTTCATAAGGAAAAACACTTAAGCTAATGACAAAAACTATTTCATCTTGACCTTGCTGATCATGATCGGGTTACATTGAATTTGTCTCCCGGTTTCTGTTGTGTTAATATGTTATCACAGCTTTAACATTTTAATGAACATTAATTCGTGTGGGGTGTATCGTTTCATTTTAAACATACCCAAGGAGATGTAATCTTAGTCGTGATAAAAGCGAGTGCTTTGCTTCACTCGTAGCTCATCAACGAGTTGAATAGACGGTTGTCCGCTATCACCTTCATTGACAAATCAATTTGTTCTGCCGCAGAATCAGCTTAATATCCCCCTTTTTAATTCAATGGATCTGCTCCTATTGTGCGGGATCGTATACTTTTGGTGTTATTCCTCCGTGCCCTATAACTTGCGTGTGTGTATTGCGTGGTTCTTTTTCCCCCCATAGATCCCCTTGCGCATTAGGTATCATATTTACTTTGACCTTTTGAAGCAATTCACTGATTCATGACTTTCTTCCCCTCCCCCAAATTTTAGCAACCTGAACGCGTGGCTTCTAGTATGCACAGACAGGAGACCGTGGAATGCCTGAAGAAGTTCAATGCAAAGAGAAAACTCAAGGTAATATATTCTGCTTTTCCCTTACTTTATTTACTTTGATGAATGTGTTGAATCGAAGTGACTCTTTGTTGCTCGAAGTGCTCTGAACCAGATTGCAAATATCTCAGTAATCTAACATTAATCTACTGACTTTTCTCTGGTATTTTAATAGATAGGAGGCGTTTTAATCATTTTCGTTTGGATTATAGTGGGATGTCACGTGTCTTAGAATCACCTAGCTATATCAGTATCAACTTTTGCAGATAGCTTGACATAGGGAAAATGTCGAGGGCACGCTTCAAGTCCCATATAAGTGACAGAAGGGAACTCGAGGAGTTGATGAACATCGGCTGTTGTCACTTATTACCCACGCGTCTCTCGAATCCATTTAGTTTATGAGGAAGGCTCTGGAAATGCAAAACGCGCAACCTGTCACTTGAACTTTGAAGACATTTTGCATTCTCGCATATTTTTTTTCGAATGAATTAGGAGAAACAGGAAACGGGAGAGTTGAGAATAGGTGGGAGTGAGCTTTTTGTGAAGTAAAATAAACTCTAATGTGACCTCCTTCTTACAAATCGAGGTCTGAAACCCATGCCATGTTCCCATAACCTTCATAACTTATTGGTTTTAAAGTAAGCGTGGAGAGAAGAGGAGGGCGTGGGGGCGTGGGGGGGGGGGGGCGAGGGGGCAAGAAAGCAGGGCCCAAAATCAAGGTGATAAGTAGTGAAGAAGAAGACGAATAGAAGTCTGACAGATAGGTCGATATGACAATGAGCTACTGATATCATCATCGGCGTGTTTATTACACCCTTATCGCCTTTTGTATCGCTTTTAGCACTAGCTCATTTTATTGTTTTCAGATTTAAATTTTTTAATTAAGTGTAATCATCTAATTCACAAAGAACGAATTCACTCATTAGGTAGTTTTCTTATTCACTGGCATTTTATTATTTGAAGTGATATTGGTGTCAACATTTGAAGACTATTTGAACAAACAAAGTCTTGTTTGAGTTGAAGTGACTGGCAAATTTTTAGCTACACAAATTTGTTACCTGAATCGAATGCTCATTCATTTTCCATGTTGATGATGGTGATGATGATGATGCTCAGTCACAAATAGACGTTCGCGTTTCAGAGTAAGTGAAGGGCAATTTCAATTTTAAGAGGGCAAATACTTTATGAATCAGGTGAATCCCACTTCATTTTTAATTCCAGGATCTTCAAACTTGCTTTTTTTTGCATTGTTTATCAAGTTCACTCTATTGCTTTGGCTGCTGAAGGTAGGGGGTATTTCTACCAATTCCTGATTGATCAAGTGGAATAGTGTGTCTTACTTATGTAGTGCTGCACATCCATTTTTCTCTCTCTTCTTATTTCAAATACTAGAGAGAGGGAGAGAGAGAGGGGGAGGGGAGAGAGAGAAAGATCGTGACATTTGGATAAAACGGCGCCTCTTACCCATAGCCTTGCAAAATTTAGCCAACTGCAGTGCGCTGATAAATTATTGCTGATAGTGGAATGGTTACCTTATTATAACAATAACTTGCATGATTGCGCTTATTGCACATAGATTTTGGACGGGTTTCTTCGGTTGAGTATTTCATTCAAATCACTCAATGATGCGTTTCAAACTTCTATCATTGGTTTATTGTAATTTAAAAACGAGTAGGTTATTGAAGCTCAAAAGAGTGTAGGCCTATTTTTCAAAACTACAGCGATCTACTTGGTCTGGTCGTTCTTATTTCTAACGCCCTACCCAAGTTGTAACCATTATGGGGTCACAGAATAGGAGTTACCTATGAGGAGTCTTATTGAGTTGGAAAGGGTAGATTAATTGAGCTTAACAGTGCTGTAAAGAGGAAATGTGGCGACACTCTGCTTTAATTAAAAGAAGAGGGGGGGGGGGACGAGGAGGGATAATCAAATTGTGTGATCTAATAGCTGGAGCCAATCAATGTGCAACTTAAAATTGTGGCGTACTAAGTCACACCAGGCCCCCATCAATAACTGTGTAACTCTTCACCTGGATCGTGTATTATCCGGCATCAATTGATCCATCTATTCTACGGATCTGTACGAAAACTGATGAGTAGAAGCTATTGTTATTATTATCGTCCAAGTCAAGACAGCAATTAAATGTTTTTAATCTCAGAAACCTCATCTTGAACACAACGTTTAAACGAGCTGTCTAATATGGAAAAAAAAGAGTTTTATAGTAGAACATAAAATCGTGATTTAGAGTTTCACAAAATTTAATCCATTGCTACTTTTGCTATTGAAGTATAGTCATCTACTAAATGCCTCATTGTCCGGGTTGAATTAATGTTCTTTACATTTAACGAGTAAATTAATTTGCCCCCCCCCCTCCATTTGCTTTATTAAATTAAGTTGCTAAGTTTCTTCTCGCTTATTGTCATCCGATTTATTTATTTTGGCCTGGCGAATAGGATGTTATGCGAATTTCCCATAAGGGGTTATCTCTTTCGACGGACAGACCTTTTTGCCGTCGCTTGCTCACTCTTGATATTCAATGACCCAATATTTCAGGTTCACAGAAAGTAGGTGCGGGCTGTTCCCGGGCAATTTCCTCGCCTCCTAAAGTCCATTTGCATTTAGTGGTTTTCAGTTAAGTGTGGGTTATTTGAGTTAATTTGGAGTATTTCCTCCTATGCGTATGTACAAATTGAGCTGAGGCTAATTCCGCGCCTCGTGTGCTCACAAAACAGTGCGCCTACGTCTGTCACACCGGATCAAGTACACACGCACCACGTGCGCTCGGGCAATCTGTAGACAATCGATTTTCTCCCCCTGTGTACGTGCCACTGATTGGTCTAATTTGATTACGCGCAATGCCCATTGCTATGCATGCGTACTGTCAAATGTGTGTGTGTGTGTGTGTGTGTGCGTGTGGCGGTATGTGTGAGAGATTACGTGTGTGCAATGTGATGAGAATTTTATGGTGGTTTGGCCATCTAATCGTCCTCTATCTCACCCATTCAAACTCAACGTTTGCCGCCTACTCATTCCTCTGCTACTTAGTGTATTGTCGATTTGGCCAATGAAGCGCACCATTGTAAATAATCGTGCGTTGAGAATCAGTTCAGTTTAATTTAGAATTAATACTGAAAGCTCTATGAAAATCTCTCTCCCTAAACTAGAAGGACGTTGATTAAACGCCTCATTTGAAGGCAGATTCTTTAACGAAGCAAGGGAAGAGGAAGTCAAGTTGCAAGTGGAAACCTTTCCTATCATTTTTCCTGCCAAGAACTTATTGATCGGAAGTGACTTCCCCTTTTAGGTCTGGAATTAACGACTAAGGGTATTCAGAGATGAGGCCTAAACTTATACTTATACTTATAAAAAAAGTAGAGGCATCTGCGTTAATTATTAGGCACTCCAATTCGAATTTCTCTAAATTCAAGAGATAGGGAACGGTGGTTGGATTTAATTTTTGCTAATTTAGAAACCGAGTTCACTTTGAGTCTATGACTTTCTTTAAGAATCAGTGTGAAATAAGATTCAAACGATGACAAGGGAGCAGAAATGGTAACAAGCGAGAAGTAAGTAGCATTCACTTAGTGATTAGAGTAGAATACTGAAGGATGTCAAAACGAAAATAAATTCATTATAATCGTTGAACATCTAGCGTCCTAGACTAAGTTACAGCTAAAATAGTCTTGTTTTAATAATAATAATTATTATTTCAAATGGCAGATTTTTGTGATATTTATCACTAGCCCCGTGTTTTATTAATAGAAATGCGGACTTATATTGAGCGCCTTTCTTCAATTATGGCTTGAAACTTCCACTTTTTTAATAATTTCTTGTGAGTGGATTTCATATGAGTTTAGTGCACACACATTTGGAAACATTCAAGTGTTGGTTTATGAGATGTTTTTGTCAATCACTTAATGTTACTTCACAGCCATGTACGCGAATAGGTCCTATTCCTCATGGTATGAAATTCTGTTGAAAATTAGCCTCAGTGGTTGCTTAATTCCCTTCATTTTCTTTTCAGGGTGCCATCTTGACAACTATGATTGCTACTCGAAACATTTTCTGTAAGTTTTGCATCAATCGCCTCAGTTATAAACACGCCCTGTTGCATGCCACTTTCACTTCTGAGTAGACTTACCCAAACTTCTTTTTCAAATGGCAGGCTTTATGATATTTATCATTAGCCCTTAAACTTTGACTTCAGCTTGCCCCATGGGTAGGGGGTACATATATAGCAGTTAACTAATAGCAGTTCATTAGCTGTCTTCTGACTTCCCAGTATCTCTGGCTTTCCATCGTTGTCTTTAGGGCTGGACACCGAATCAGATGGGTCTTCTCCATTTCCTCCTGTAGGTTACATAGGGGGCATGTGGGTTGAGTATATACTCCCAATCTGTGAAGGTGTTTTGCCAAGCAATCGTGTCCGGTACGTAGTCTGAACTCATCAACTGCTTCGATTCTTGGCCAGTCGGGTATGTCGGAGATTGCCACTGTCCACTGTTTCTCCTTTGTTCGAGCTTTGAGTTCGTTGCACCTTGAGGTCTTGAATTTTCTCCTGATTAAGGCCTTCATCGGGCGGTCCATGCATTGCAAAATCGTTGTCCCCTTCTTAGCAAGTGCGCACCCCACTTACCCAAACTTTAAACCCAGGTTTTTTGGAACAAGCCTGTTCGAAATTCAAAATCGTTAACTTTAAAATTGTTAGAAACATTTATCCGAATCTCCGCTGTGTTTTTTGAAAGTTTTTTTGCTGAGTTAGCAGTTGATTTAATTGAATTACGAATCACACGGTATTATTGATCCCTGGGCTTTGCATTAGCTGTGTAAGGAGATTCTTAAAGCCAACCCACTATGATAGAGACAGCTTTTATGTGAATTGCTTGTTTTGTTTTTAATAGAAGAAGCACATCTGCACTATTCTGTCTTGAGATATCTCCTTAATCGGCCTAAAATTCAGTTAATATTACGGGTCATTAGTCGAAATAATATATGAATGTTTCCATTAGCATTGTTTGTTTATAGTTCCCCATTGTTAGAATGCATCGAAGCACACTTATTAC